CACTTTTTCTTCCTGTTCTGCTGAAGAAAACGGTCGCCTCAGGTCTCAGGTGAGTTCAGGTGCAGACAGAGTGTCCACAGTGACAGCCATATTGAAAAGGGGAGGGTGGTTCTAAGCCAATCAGGTCCCTTGTTTCCTCCTGACTCACCTTCTGTCTCCTCTCTGCACTCTGCTCTCAGTGAGTCCGTCACTGTGAAGTCTGTACGTTCCTTTATTGGAGGGAAAATGACGCCGAAACAAGTTCTGGTGAGTCGACTCCAGAAATAAATAAAAGATATATACATAGTGATGAGTTTAACAGAAACAGCTAAACGTGTTTTGCAGTGCAGTAAAACAGTCTACATGTTCAGTTTGTGTTGAGATGAATGCTTTACTTGTATGTTAACTTAAATCATATTGTGGTGCAGGTATGAAAGTATCAGAAACAGCGGACAGTACAGTTTTGAACAGAAATAACCTCAGAGTTGAATCAACAGATTGATTTTTACAGATAAAGTCATTTTACAGGACTATTGTTCTGAAGTTCTGAACAGTTCACATGGGTTTCTATATCAGAAACCCATGTATATTTCTATATCTATTCAGGCCTGGTGATCAGATGGACCAGCAGCTTGTACCTGCCACCATCACTTCAATAACTGAAAGGAAACTGCTTTATTCTCACTTTTAATAAATAAAAACACTATGGCGTCAACTTCAGGTACGTGCACCATGTTCACATGTTGGACGAGACACCTGTCAAACACACTACAAGACATTTTATGACACATTTGCCTGTTTTTGGTCAGAAATTAAAGATTCATTCAATCATCAGTTTAGAAATCAATTTAGATGTTGGTTAGATATATAGATAAAGATGTTCGATACGTTACTAGAGTTGATCAACTCTTTCACTTCATAGCTAACAGAATCATTGTCTACAGAATAAAACAAAGGTCAACAAGGAAGCAATAACTCTGACATGATTAAGATCACAGTGATAAGAACACTAATATAATCTTTTACTGCAGGTAAAAGATTATACAGGATTTATTACAGGATGAATGACAGTAACTTTTTAGTTCAGAGTTTAAGAATTTATCCTTATTCAACAAATCCAGTGTTATCAAAATGCTAAAATTTTGGTAAGAATCTGAATGAAAAACTCAAGTATGAACAGATTTCAGAATGTTTTTAGATTCCAGTTTTAAAAAGTAACAACACATTTTTTAAATGAGACACTTAATCAGAGCAGGTTGTCCCTGAACGCCACACATCCAACTCCACTATATGAAGCTTTATAAAAACATGATCCTGCTGGGAAACTCTTCTTCTGCCTTTTTTAAACTTCCCTTGTTTGTTTCTTTACAAAACTAGATAAAAATCTTAGAGTCAAAGTATTTTCTCTGTGTAGTTGGTGGGTCAGTGGAGCTGATGATAGAACTGCAGCAGGTTCCAGATTCACATTATTAACTGTAAAATCATCGATCTTCCTCCCGTCAGTCGGCTGTTCTCATCAGACTCACAGCTTGTTATTATCACACTAACTTCACTAACTGATGGTTTGTGTGTTTTGGTCTGAACCGAGAGTCCTGATCTGTTTTCAGTCCGTTTCATCTCTAAAGTCTCTGAAATGAGGAGAATTACAACATTTATGACAAAGTGAGCAGAAGACGCCAGTTCAGGCATGATGAGAGGAGGAAATGCTCTGATTTCTGAGCGGGCGTGGTTTTACTGCAGATGTGCAGCAGTTTCACATGTGAGGGAGTCAGTTTTCTCACTTTATAAACCTTTATTAAAAGCTTTTTTCCTTTTCACATGTTTATTTACAGCACTATATTTTGAAATTTTTTGTAATAGGCAGCATATTAACTTATTGGGATAAAACTTGTAGTTCTATGTAAAATCAGATGTTGAGCTCCCCCGTATCACCAAAATGGTACGATCCTTGTTTTGCTGCGAAGCTTCGACTGTGAGATTGACAGTCGAATCAGGCTCCGCCCATCGAAGCATTGAATCTTCGACTATTTGGGGTCAGCTCTAATATACAGTGGGTATGGAAAGTATTCAGACCCCTTTAAATTTTTCACTCTTTGTTTCATTGCAGCCATTTTCCAAAAATCAAAAGTTCATTTTATTTCTCAGTAATGTACACTCAGCACCCCATCTTGACAGAAAAAAACAGACATTTTTGGCAAATTTATTAAAAAAGAAAAACTGAAATATCACATGGTCATAAGTATTCAGACCCTTTGCTCAGTATTTAGTAGAAGCACCCTTTTGATCTAATACAGCCATGAGTCGTTTTGGGAAAGATTTTTCACATCTGGATTTGGGTATCCTCTGCCATTCCTCCTTGCAGATCCTCTCCAGTTCTGTCAGGTTGGATGGTAAACGTTGGTGGACAGCCATTTTCAGGTCTCTCCAGAGATGCTCAATTGGGTTTAAGTCAGGGCTCTGGCTGGGCCATTCAAGAACAGCCACGGAGTTGTTGTGAAGCCACTCCTTGTTATTTTAGCGGTGTGCTTAGGGTCATTGTCTTGTTGGAAGGTAAACCTTCGGCCCAGTCTGAGGTCCAGAGCGCTCTGGAAAAGGTTTTCGTCCAGGATATCCCTGTACTTGGCCGCATTCATCTTTCCCTCGATTGCAACCGGTCGTCCTGTCCCTGCAGCTGAAAAACACCCCCACAGCATGATGCTGCCACCACCATGCTTCACTGTTGAGACTGTATTGGACAGGTGATGAGCAGTGCCTGGTTTTCTCCACACATACCGCTTAGAATTAAGGCCAAAAAGTTCTATCTTGGTCTCATCAGACCAGAGGATCTTATTTATCACCATCTTGGAGTCCTTCAGGTGTTTTTTAGCAAACTCCATGCGGGCTTTCATGTGTCTTGCACTGAGGAGAGGCTTCCGTCGGGCCACTCTGCCATAAAGCCCCGACTGGTGGATTGCTGCAGTGATGGTTGACTTACTACAACTTTCTCCCATCTCCCGACTGCATCTCTGGAGCTCAGCCACAGTGACCTTTGGGTTCTTCTTTACCTCTCTCACCAAGGCTCTTCTCCCCCGATAGCTCAGTTTGGCCGGACGGCCAGCTCTAGGAAGGGTTCTGGTCGTCCCAAACGTCTTCCATTTGAGGATTATGGAGGCCACTGTGCTCTTAGGAACCTTAAGTGCAGCAGAAATTGTTTTGTAACCTTGGCCAGATCTGTGCCTTGCCACAATTCTGTCTCTGAGCTCTTCAGGCAGTTCCTTTGACCTCATGATTCTCATTTGCTCTGACATGCACTGTGAGCTGTAAGGTCTTATATAGACAGGTGTGTGGCTTTCCTAATCAAGTCCAATCAGTATAATCAAACACAGCTGGACTCAAATGAAGGCGTAGAACCATCTCAAGGATGATCAGAAGAAATAGACAGCACCTGAGTTAAATATGAGTGTCACGGCAAAGGGTCTGAATACTTATGACCATGTGATATTTCAGTTTTTCTTTTTTAATAAATTTGCAAAAATTTCTACATTTCTGTTTTTTTTCTGTCAAGATGGGGTGCTGAGTGTACATTACTGAGAAATAAAATGAACTTTTTGATTTTTGGAAAATGGCTGCAATGAAACAAAGAGTGAAAAATTTAAAGGGGTCTGAATACTTTCCGTACCCACTGTATATATATATATATATATATATATATATATATATATATATATATATATATATATATTTATAGGTGCTGGTCATATAATTAGAATATCATCAAAAAGTTGATTTATTTCAGTAATTCCATTCAAAAAGTGAAATTTGTATAATGTAAACATTCATTCCACACAGACTGATCAAGTGTTCATTCCTTTTAATCTTGATGATTATAACTGCCAACTAATGAAAATCCCAAAATCAGTATCTCAGAAAGTTAAAATATTGTGAAAAGGATCAATATTAAAGACACCTGGTGCCACACTCTAATCAGCTAATTAAATCAAAACACCTGCAAAGGCCTTTAAATGGTCTCTCAGTCTAGTTCTACACAATCATGGGGAAGACTGCTGACTTGACAGCTGTCCAAAAGACGACCATTGACCAAGAGCTGAAGGCCACTATCAGAGCAACCTGGGCTCTCATAACACCTGAGCAGTGCCACAGACTGATGGACTCCATGCCACACCGCATTGCTGCAGTAATTCAGGCAAAAGGAGCCCAACTAAGTATTGAGTGCTGTACATGTTCATACTTTTCATGTTTATTCTTTTCAGTTGGCCAACATTTCAAAAAATCCTTTTTTGTATTGGTCTTCAGTAATGTTCTAATTTTCAGAGATACTGAATTTGGGGTTTTCATTAGTTGTCAGTTTTAATCATCACAATTAAATGAATTAAACATTTGAGATATATCAGTCTGTGTGTAATGAATGAATATAATATTGAAGTTTCACTTTTTTAATGGATGAACTTTTTGATGATATTCTAATTATATGACCAGCACCTGTGTGTGTGTGTGTGTGTGTGTGTATATATATATATATATACAGTACTTTGCTTTTTTCAACCATTTCCAAGACTGAATAAAATGAACATCAACACAACCACTTATACAAAATGTCTGTGAAGATTCTCAGTCCTCCAGGTCATAGTTATCCAACGAAGGTTAAAGTCAAGGGCAACTGAAATTTATCTTAACCAACTCCAGTTGCCCTTGACTTTAACCTTCATTGGACACTTACACAAAGTAACACTCCACTGTAAATGCACTGATAGTTCAGGTGTTGGAGGCGGCTGATTTCTAAAATACTTTATTTGGTTTTTGTTTTCAAGTCCAGAGTTTAATCAGATACATCATTGAGGGAGGATTCACTGAGATGTAGATCTCTTCAGTGTGACCTGTGAAATAATTCTTAGTTAAACATCAATGCTTCATTTTAGGGACATTTACAGTAAAATCAGTTCATCACACACAGGTCTTCACATTGTTGTCTGCAGTAACCAAACTCCATGTTGTCCTAAAAGTCCTTGTTTGAATCTTGTGATTAAGATTTCCATTCTACCTCTTCAGGCTCTCAAACCCAGCAGTTGGTTTCTAGTTGAATTGGTCTCTGGTGTTTCCAGCAGAGTGACATCATGGCGTCTGCAGCATCAGGTGAGTCCAGTCAGACTGTATTAGTCTGGAAAACACTCTTCTCTCTCTGTCCACATATTATACAGATAACTAAAGAGCTGCGTCCTCAGATGTTAAATCAGGTCTGAGTCCTGAATTAAACTCAGCTGAATACATGTTCATACCTGTGATAATAACCATAATGAAGTAGAAAACTGAGGGATACTATCTGATTATTTGGGCTACAGATCTCACTCGACTCAAAGCTGGATCCCAGTTTTATTCAGTCTAGTTTGTTTTGCTGCAGGTCTCAGGTCTGTGATTCACTATGTCAAATAACTTAGGAGATGCAAATGGACTCTCAGACGGTCACTTTCTGATTGTGTCTCTCTTTTGCTTCTGTTGGTTTTTTTGTTTACGATTTGGTCCAAAGGTTTAATGATCCAAAAAGATGTCACTGTTACTGTCACTAAAAGGTCTGCTATAGATTACATCTGATAAATAAATAAGTAAACAAATGCTGTGTCCTTTCAATCACAGATGATCTGCTGCCTCTGAAACGCATTAGCAGCAATACGTTCCTGCCTCCTCACAGTGAGTCAAACTGAACTGTGTTATCCTGTTTAAGAATATCTGAGTTTGAAGTATTTTATAGGTGCAATCTGTGAGAAGTAACTAACCTGAAGTTTAACTGAAATTAAACTGTAAATGAATAAATGCAAGTCTGAGTTGATCTTTTTCCACCTTTTCTAAATCTTTGTTATCCTTTCAGTGTCTGAGCTGAGGGTTGTTCTGCTGGGGAACAGCTGGTCTGAGAGGAGTTCAGTGGGGAACTTCATACTGGGAGAGACTAAGTTCAACACTGAGGAAGAACCAGACGACTGTCTGAGAGAAAGAGGACGGTTAAAGGAGAAAGAAATAGTTCTCATCAACACCCCAGATCTGCTGCATCCCAACATCTCTCAACACAAACTGACAGAACATGTGACAAACTGTGTGAGACTCTCTGATCCTGGACCTCATGTGTTCCTGCTGGTTCTACAGCCTGAAGACTTCACTGAGGAACACAAACTGAGGCTCTGCAGAGTCCTGGAACTCTTCAGTGATCGATCATTTGATCATTCACTGGTTCTGATATCAACACCCAGAGAGGAGAGTCCAGGTTTAATGGAAAAATACATGGAACAGCCTCCATTAAAAGACCTGATCAGAAAATGTAGACACAGATACCTGAAGCAGAAGAACCTCGAACTTCCAGAGCTGTTAACACGCTTGGATCAAATCGTAAAGGAGAACAATGGAGAGCATGTCAGCTGTGATGTGTTTGAGGACACAACAGCTTCTTTACCAGGTGATCATCAAAGTGCAAAACAAAAGCAAACACAGATTTCTCTCACAGATGCTGTTAAAGCTGCTGGTACAGAAACAATTCTGACCAAGCAGTGAAACCTTTGTTCAAAAATCTTCTTTGATTAAATTAGAAAATTAAACTGCAAATTAATGATGTCATCTTTTACAGGGTTGTATGGTGCAAAAATCCCTGAACAACTCTCACTATCAGAGAAAACCCCAAAGACTCACAGTAAGTAAATTCATGCCTAGATACATTTTAGGAGAAATGTGATGCTGCCTTTTCTTAGAAATATCCAAAATATTTAATGCTAACACTCACATTCCCATCAAACCCCGAGCTCCACATCCACTGCTCTGTTTGGACAAAACAGTATTTCCTGTAAAGGCACCTGTTTCTGACCCTGTTACATCTTTTCTAATATGTAAGTTTTTATACAGAAACAGCTGTGTAGAAACCAAATTTACACATCAGGTGCAAAAAATGACACATATCAACCAGTAGGTGGCGCTTTAATCAAGATCAATGCATTTTGGCCCATAACTCCCACGTAGTACATTGCACATTCAAAATTGCACATTCATTCTTTTTGCAAAATAGCGAAATATGTGAAACCTACTCGTCCTCCTCCTAGACAGAGTCCAATCTGCACGAAACTTTGCAAGAAAAAATTTTGGACTCCCATCACCGAAAGTTATTAAAATAATTGTGAAAATGCAAAAAATGCCTAACTTATAAATGAACAACTTCTTGTATGTTATGGATAAAAACAGGAAGTGATGTCATATCCCCACATAAGTCTATCCGATTCATTCTCATCTCAGGACGTCCAATCATGTCAAATACTTACACTTTGTCATGTTGTCTGAAAGTGTCAGTAATGATACCCTGAGATGAAAACATGTTGGATTAACAGTGCTTAGTACATTCTCATGCCCCGACTCTTTAGACCCTCATGATCATAACTTGTTAAATATTTTTGATAGTCCACAAAATGCGCAATTTATAAAGGAACAAATAAAATGAAGGGACGTCATAGCTCCACAGAGGTCTGTCTGATTAACACAAAATTTGGGTCTTTGAGCAAGAGTCCGAGTCAAGTCTCAAGTCTCTGAGCAAGAGTCCGAGTCAAGTCTCAAGTCTCTGAGCTAGAGTCCGAGTCAAGTCTCAAGTCTCTGAGCTAGAGTCCAAGTCAAGTCTCAAGTCTCTGAGCAAGAGTCTGAGTCAAGTCTCAAGTCTCACCTGCTGCGTTCAATCCAGGTTGCTAATAAAACTGCATAGCTATAAGGAATACTGTTAATCTGTTTTTCATTTACAGAGCACAACCATGTACTGTGTAATTCAATTACTGACGGCTTATTAAATACTGTAAGTGAAAACACTCCCAAGACTCTCAAACCCAGCGTAACGTTAACTAAATAAAACTGTGACGTTGCATAATCAACAATAAACCTGTAACCTGTTTTTAACTTACAGAGCACAACCTTTTAAATGCAATTAATGACAGCTTAAACTACTGTAAGTCAACACATCCTCCTGACTCTCAAATCAATAAACTGTAACCTGTTTTTAACTTGAAGAGCACAACCATGTAATGTGCAATGCAATCGCTGACAGCTTAAACTACTGTAAGTCAACACACCATCAGACTCTCAAACTAGTGTAATGTTATAACTAAATAAACCTGTAACCTCTTTCTAGCTAATGGCAATAATTAAGGTGATGCAGCCAGCGGGACGTAAATTACTTTATCTACCACCACAAGTTTGGCAAGTAAACAAACGCTCATTCATCTTTTCATAACGAACGACAGTCGGAGTAAACCTCTCGTAGGTCGTAGCTGAAGCAAGAAGCAAGCTAACGTTAGATGGCCAATGCTGAGCTGTTTTACTCACCACCGGTTACTAACCTATTTTGTATTCTGTGCGTCTTTGTTTGGGTCTTGTTGTATGAAGTTTTAAAGCCAAAGTTTATGATGAATGACGGAGCAGCTGCCGGTGTTTGTTGTATTCACGTGTGGGCACGCGCAGCAGATACTACGTGTTACGTAGGCAGGTTATAGGTAACGGGGGGGGGGGAATAACGGCAATTGGCAATTGCCGGCAAACAGCATTGTTCACGAGTCCTGCACCTCGAGTCAGAGTCGAGTCTGAAGTCTTTTGAGGATGAGTCTCAAGTGGAGTCTCAAGTCACTGGGTGTGCGACTTAAGTCGCACTCGAGTCCGAGTCTCTAACTCGAGTCCCCATCTCTGTCAGTACGTCCCCATGCCCCAATAAGGCTACGTGCAAAATGTGGTCAAAATCAACTACTAGATGTCACTTTTGTGCAAAATCACAAATTATTTTTCCAAATTTGTCTTATTGAATTAAATGTTTTCAAATCTCTGTGCTGTTCTTCACCTGCGACTTGCATTGCCTGTGGGGAGGCAAGTCTGACTTAAGAAAGTTGTACAAACTGAGTTTTCGCTGAAGGGCATGTCCGTGGCGTGGCGTCACAAATTGAAGATTTACCATTATACTGGAAGTTGTTATAACTTCAGTGCACATGCTTAAATTTGTATCAAAATTGTACAAGTATGATAAGAGTCCCGCCCTGAACACATCAACATGCTAATATTCATAGTCAGAGCGCCACCTGATGGTAACAAGAAGTGACCTTCAATGAAGCAGCCCCCATGGCATGTTTCACCTACATGTATGAAACATTTATTAAACATTTTTATAGTGTTATTGAGGAAAATTATATCACTATAATTATCATTTATTTATTACACAACACAATGTTTTGTGCAAGCATTAGGCTTTCTGGATGATTCTTGTAATGTTATCCCATATTGATCTGCAGCTGTGTATTCAAACCCAAATTAGTCTTAAAGTAAAGAGCAACCTATGAACATTATTCATAGATTAGGAGGTGCATTACTCAATCTTCACTCTCTGCTGTCACATCTCTACTCCATCTCTCTCACCCAAATGAGGGAGCGGTAACACGGAGCGGAGCTTTAATGTACGGCACTGTATGCAGCTGAAAAGTAGCTAATAGTGATGTAACTTAACTTACACATTAGCTACATAGCTTTTTGTGGCCTGTCTCATCATTGTTTATCACAAGCAAAAATGGAACTTAAGAACAATTGTGACCACAGGCCTTGTCCTCAGTCTCTAACAAACTAACTGCATTAGCTACTTCCCTTAACATGTTAACTAAATTAGGTAACGTTAGCTTGTGCACCTGGCTAGGTGGCAAATAACTGGAAAAGAACTAAAGCAAGCAAATTAAATTAGTGCCCTGAAACATACAGTATACATAGGTACGCTTGCTAGCTCTGCTAACGTCATGCACACGTAGCATACCTTTCTTTATGCTTTTGAAACGGCAATAAAAGTTGAACGTGGTCACAGCCGTCTCCGTGGCACTTTCAGATTCCTGTGATTCCTACTTAATTTTAACTTTCTCTCTGTTGTATTACAGCATCTGGATTTAGGATTGTGCTGCTGGGAAAATGTGACGACAAAAAGACAGTGAGAGAAGAGATGAGGAAGTGCATCAGTCTTTGTCCTCCTGGACCAAATGTTCTGCTGCTGTTATTGAAGCCTTCTGATTTCACTGAGGAGAACAGACAAACACTGAAGTTCATCCTGAGTTTGTTTGGTCAAGATGCTTTTAAACACTCAATGGTCATCGTGACACATGATGGAACAAGTGACTCTGTCAGCCAGCTCCTTGAAGACTGTGGAGGAAGACACTACAGGATGGTAGAAGAAGACCATGGACAGCTGATGGAGAAGATTGAGAACATTGTGCATGAAAACAAAGGAACCTTCCTCACCTTCACTGAAGAGACCATCAGACCAAAGTCTGAACACATCAAACCAGCTTTAAACCTGGTTCTGTGTGGGAGGAGAGGAGCAGGAAAGACTTCAGCAGCCAAGGCCATTTTAGGTCAGACAGAGTTTCATTCAGTCTCCAACTCATCAGAGTGTGTTAAACATCAGGGAGAGGTGTGTGGACGTTGGGTTTCCCTGGTGGAGCTGCCTGCCTTGTATGGAAAACCTCAGGAGGCAGTGATGGAGGAATCACTCAGGTGTATCTCCCTCTGTGATCCTGAGGGCGTCCATGTCTTCATCCTGGTCCTACCTGTGGGTCCCCTCACTGATGAAGACAAGGGAGAGTTAAAGACCATCCAGAACACATTCAGCTCTCGAGTCAATGACTTCACCATGATTCTGTTCACTGTGGAGTCAGATCCTGCAGCTCCAGCTGTTGTTAACTTTGTAAAGGAAAACAAGGACATCCAGGAGCTCCGTCAGAGCTGTGGAGGAAGAGATGTTGTTCTCAACATCAAGGACGAGCAGCAGATCCCAGAGCTGTTGGACATGGTGGACAAGATGAGACAATCTGAAAATAAACCATCCTGCTATACAGCTGTAACATTTGCACGTGCACAAATGGAAAAGGTCATACAACAAGAGAAAAACATCATCAAACTACAGGCTGAACTGAAGGACCTGAAAACAAACAGCAGAGGTAAGTACTATAATTGATAAATATGAATAATAATAAATAATATTTTTTTCTGTTCTTGCAGTATATACAGTTATAACTGTCAGCATTTAAAGTAATGTCTGTTCTTCTTCTTTCCCAGGTGATGATGAGGAGCAGAGCCCAGAGAGTCTCAGGATTGTGCTGATAGGGAAGACTGGCTGTGGAAAGAGCTCTACAGGAAACACCATTCTAGGAAGAAAAGAGTTTGAGGCCAAATCAAGTCAAAATTCAGTCACCAAACTTTGTCAGAAAGCACAGAGTGAAGTGGACGGTCGTCCGGTCGTTGTGGTCGACACTCCTGGTCTGTTTGACACAACTTTGTCCCATGAAGAAGTTAATGAGGAGATGGTGAAATGCATCAGTCTTCTGGCTCCAGGACCACATGTCTTCCTGTTGGTGTTACAGATCGGCAGATTTACACAAGAGGAGAAGGAGACATTAAAACTCATCAAGAAAGCCTTTGGGAAGAATGCTGAAAAGTTCACCATCATTCTTTTAACTGGAGGAGATACACTAAAGCGTGAGAAGCGAACCATTGAAGAATATATTGAACAGGACTGTGATGCTTCCTTTAAGAAGCTGATCTCTGACTGTGGAGGAAGATACCATGTGTTTAATAACTATGATCAAAACCGCACACAAGTCAGTGAGCTGATAACCAAGATTGACACCATGGTGAAGGAAAATGGAGGCAGCTGCTACACCAATGAGATGCTGCAAGAGGCCGAGGCAGCTATAAAGAAAGAAATGGAGAGAATCCTGAAGGAGAAGGAAGAAGAGATGAAGAGAGAGAGGGAGGAGCTTCAAAGAAAACATGAGGAGGAAATGAAAGAGATGAAAAGAAGAATGGAAGAACAGAGAGCAGAAACTGAAAAGGAGAGAAAACTGAGAGAAAAACAACTTAAAGAAAAGGAGGAGAAGATAAAGAAGGAACGTGAGGAGAGAAAGAAAGAACAGGAAATGAGAGAAGAAGAAGACAGGAAGAGAAAACAACAGGAAGAAATTCAACGACAGGAGTGGAAACGAAAGTTTGAAGCTTTGGAGCAAAATATAAGATCAGAATCAGAATCAAAGGAAATGATTTACAGAAAGCTGAAGGAGAGCAGAGAAGAGATGAGAAAAGAACGAGAGAACTGGGAGAAAACACAAAATGAATGGTGGGAAAAACGAAAACAAGAAGACGAACAGAAACGACAGGAGGAAGAAAGAAGACTTAGAAAGCTTCAAGAAGAATACGAACAGGAAAAAGAAAATTATGAAAAGAAAGGAAGAGAACAGACAGCAGAAACTGAAAAAGAGAGAAAACTGAGAGAAAAAGAACTTAAAGAAAAGGAAGAAAAAATAAATAAGGAACGTGAGGAGAGAAAGAAAGAACAGGAAATGAGAGAAGAAGAAGACAGGAAGAGAAAACAACAGGAAGAAATTAAACGACAGGAGTGGAAACGAAAGTTTGAAGCTTTGGAGCAAAATATAAGATCAGAGTCAGAATCAAAGGAAATGATTGACAGAAAGCTGAAGGAGAGCAGAGAAGAGATGAAAAAAGAACGAGAGAACTGGGAGAAAACACAAAATGAATGGTGGGAAAAACAAAAACAAGAAGACGAACGGAGACGACAGGAGGAACAAAAAAGACTTAGAAAGCTTCAAGAAGAATACGAACAGGAAAGAGAAAATGATGAAAAGAAAAGAAATGAAGAGGACAGAATCAGAAGAGAACAAGAGGAAAAAGAGAAAAAGGACATTGAGGAGAAACATAAGAAAGAAAAGGAGGAACAGAAGAAGAAATATGAAGAGGAGGCCAGACAGAAAGCTGAGGAGTTTAATGAATTCAAAGAGAAATACAACGAAAAGTTTGCAGCTCAGAAGAAACAGCATGAGGAAGAAATTTGTGTTTTAGTAAAATCTGTCATCAAAGACAGAACAAATTTGGAAATAATCCACAAGTTAATGAAAACACATGAAGAACAAATGAAGAAAGAGACAAATGAGGAGAAAAAGAAAACTCTGCAGGAAACACATGAAAAAGAACTAAGTGCCTCGATAAAGAAACTTTTGAAAAAAGAATCACGGTGTTTTATTTCATGAGGATTTGTTTCATGTAAACGTCTCATCAGCAGTTTCAGATATTTTTCCTTTTTTCTGTTTTCATTTGTTCCAATAACTGAAAGTTTAACGAATAAGATATTTGACTGTGATATTTAGCAGTGGACGACACTGTGATGCAGACCATGGCCACAGAAATACTTCTCATTGGCTGTCAGGGTCCAGCCTATTAACTACAGGTTACCATAGCAACGAAACTAGCGTTTTCTGAATTAATTTGACTGAAATGATTTTTCTGAGTGGTGAAACCTTGTGAAGAATATACAGCTCATTCTCATTCCCAGAGCATTAAATAGCTACACTTTTTAGGGCCCTATGGAATACTTCTTATTTTTTTGGATTTCTGTGTTTTACAATATAAACATATTTTATCATCATAAAGAGTGTATAATGAAAACTGTTTCAACAGCTCAATAAATGATTTATGGGGACAATTCACAATGGATGTACTGTTGCAGTACTTGTACTGTGAATTGTCCAATATTAAAAAGCTTATTACTTGAGTACAGCCTTTATACGCTGCTCGACATCGCTGTTTATTTTTTACGTTTTATATTTTATTTTAATGGAATATCTGAGTCATCCACTGACAGAGAGCAGAGGAAAGAAGCAGGCTGCTCGTAAATTGTGTTGTGCGAGACCACTTATTTCCTACACTATCAAATAGCAAGAAATACCCAGGCTGTTGATGCTGATACCAATACTTTTTACATATTTTATTTCTAGTTTAATGCGATCTCCCTGTCATATTCTTTAAGTATAATAAAAATATCCTGCTCAGAACTGCCGCTTCATAACATCAAAATATTATTTTGACTTGATCTCAGATGTTTAGCAAAGTTTGCGGTGTTGCCAAAGTATTTCACAGTTTTTGCACACACATTCACTGTGTTTTCTGTAAAGTTTATATAATATATTAGAGATATTAGAGTCATTTGCAACTTTTTCACCTCTAATAAGTTGAGGGTTGTAAAAAAGAGTGGGCACAGTGAGCTGCTGTTTCAGCCTGCACCTTTTCAGTCTGTAGAAAATCTTTCTGCTCTGTTGGTTTTCTTTTCTTCTGTTAAAACTCTTTTGTTGGGAATAATTGTTTTTGCTGTTTGTTTCTTTTCTTTTGTCCTAATAGTTTGTGTAATTATTTGCTGATAAAAACAGACAGCAGCTTAGTAAAGAAAGACTTCAGCAGCTGAAGCTCTGCTCGCTCATTACAGATGATCTTTGTTTTCTTTTGAATATGAGAAAGAACATGATGTTTGTGCTGGAAGTGAAATGAAATGTTTAGATGTCATTCACCCTGTTTTCTCTGCAAATCACAAATATCACAGCAAATATGAAACATTAAACAGCTTGAAGATCATTTAAACTGCTGATCTGATCAATCAGAAATATGCAGAATGACATTATAGACGATGAACGCTCTGATGTTTCTTTGTTTTGTTCCATGTCAGATAAGACTGGATGCTTTATAACTGATGACATCAACCTAAGACAGAATTCAGATCAATCTTTAATACCATGTTCTGTATTTAATCTTTGCTTTCTTTGTTTGTGCTTCTAAAAGATGAATAAAGTGTTTCCCTGTAGTTCAGTGTGGACTGTTGTTAATCTAATAAACTAGATGATAAAGTGATGAAACAGAACAGAGCTCACAGGTTTGTTTCTACCTGCACAGAGACGCTGTGGGAGGAAGTGGCTTCTCTCTGAAACATCTTTATTCACCTCTCTGTTTGTTTCTCTTCTCCTTGATCTGAGGATACTGCTGTTACCATGGATACTGTCAGAGTATCCATGAATCCTCAGTGCACTTGGCCAATGTTCAAAAAAGAAATTCAAGACTACAAAACATGAACAGATACAACAATTTCAACACCTGCAACACATTATATTGTCCAGTTAAACAGTGAACTGTGTGTAGAAACAGTTGAAACACATTATATCTGTAGCTCCATCTGCAGCCTGATGCTCTCAGTAACCAACCTCAGGTTCCTGCAGTAACGCTTCGTCGTTGATGCGGCCCCACCTGTCGAGTCCATTTTATCCTCAGTGACCAGAGTGCAGTTAGGCCACGCCATCACTGTGAAACACTTTCAGAGGGTGTTGGGTCTCCTGGCAGCAGCGTCCAGTGTAATAACTTCCGGACTACTGCACATTAGAGCCCTGTAGTGGTGGCTAAAATCCAAGGGATTCTCCCCGAGGGGAAATCTGCTCCGTCTGATACGGGTTACGAGCAGGTGCCTTCGTTCCCTGTCTGTGTGGAGGAAATCTTGGTTCCTGTCCCATTGTCCCGTGTTGGGAGCGATCTGTCGGCGAACAATTATTTCGACAGACGCCTCACTCACTGGATGGGGAGCTGTTATGGACGACCACTTTGCGAGAGGCTCCTGGCAGGAGCCTCATTTCTCCTGGCACATAAATTGCCTGGAAATGTTGGCGGTATTCAGAGCTCTGAGGAGTTTTCTGCCCGCTCGCCGCGGTTGCCACGTACTTGTCAGAACCGACAATACGGCAGTGGTGGCCTATTTGAATCACCAGGGGGGTCTGCGCTCGCACCTGTTATACAAACTGGTACATCATAACCCGAGACGTTCCCCTTCGAGGGAACTTGAACTCGAAACCGAAAGTGACTGGAGATCCCCCACCCTCCTCAGAGAGGTGATAGCGAGGAGAAAGGCCATCTTAAGGGTCAGGTGCTTGGCCTCAGTCGACTCCAGGGGTTCGAAGGGGGTCTCAGCCAGCGCTTCGAGAACCAACGGCAGGTCCCAGGTGGGAACCCTGGAACGAGTCACGGGTCTCATCCTCCGGCCTCCCCAGAGGCCCATCCCTCAGAGGGGTGTGGAACGCCGCCACATACACCTTGAGTGTGGATGGGGAAAGGCCAGCAGAGAAACATCTGGGGACCTGGAACGGCCAATGGCACAGGCCGTCTCTTTCGTAACTCGGACCCGACAGCTCCGTGGCTCTGCGGAGCTCGGCAACGTCCTTCTCAGAGGGGCCTCCTCCCGAGTCCATGTCTTTCAGCAGGTCGGCCTGGTATGCCTGCAAAACCGCCATTGTGTGCAGGCTCGCACCAGCCTGGCCCACTGCTGTGTACGCCTTGCCCACCAGAGCAGATGTCACGCGACATGGCTTGTTTGGCAGCGCCGGCTCTTTAAGGGACGACGCAAGGCCGGGTGAGAGATAGCTGGCCAAAGCATCCTCAGCCTGGGGCATCGTCCCATAACCAGAGCCCTTGACCCCCGCGACGTCACTATAAACCCGGAGCAGGGGAGTAGTCAAATGTGCTGAGAAATCGGGGAAGAGGGGAGTCGGAGCCAGCAGATGAGGAACGGGAAAAAGCCTCAGCAGTCCCGATCGCGCTGGGAGCCCCATGACCGAAGCCGCCGCGCCGCCTAAGCGACCGCCGGGCCCGAGCCACGGGGAGAGCGCATCCGGCCATCTCCGTCTATTCTACTTCCAGGTAATCTTTCCGTACTGTGGTAGCTTTCTTCTGCGTAGTCTCAAACATGCCAGAGTGCCTGCTGAATAGAAAGGCTAATGTGCTTGCCGGCGTGCTTATATACTCCCCCAGTTACGCCATCACACGCTAACGTTCTAGAAACGCCAAGGATTGGAGTAGTTTCATTCATGATTTCAGCCCTGCCACGCCCAGAGTCGTTCCCATAGTGTCGTCACCGACGCAGTTCGAGTTCCCTCGAAGGGGAACTGCTCGGTAATTGTGATACTGGAGTTCCTCGAGCACCGTTTCTCGGCGGGCCTCTCCCAGTCCACGCTCAAAGTATACGTGGCTGCCATTGCAGCATTCCACGCCCCTCTGAGTGATGGGCCCTTGGAGAGGCTTCCACTGGTCGTGCGCTTCCTCCGCGGAGCCCGGACGATGAGACCTGTGACTTGTTCCAGGGTTCCCACCTGGGACCTTGAAGCGCTGGCTGAGGCCCCCATCAAACCCCTGGAGTCGGCTGAGGCCAAGCACCTGACCCTTAAGATGACCTTCTCCTCGCTATCACCTCTCTGAGGAGGGTGGGGGATCTCCAGGCACTTTCGGTTTCTCCCCGATGCCTGGAGTTTGCCCCAGGGAGGGTCAGAGCCATCCTGCACCCTTGTCCAGGTTATGTCCCCAAGGTTCCGGCCAGATTGGCAGGGTCCACGGTGCTGCAGGTGTTTCATCCCCCACCTCATGTGACGGCGGAGGACGGGAGACTTCATCTGCTCTGCCCTGTCAGAGCGCTGAGTATTTACACTCTGAGGTCTTCCCGGTGGAGGAAAGAAGACCAGTTGCTGGTGTGTGCGCTCTCCTCCTAGTCGTGCCGTCAGGTTCTGCATGCTGGGGGCAGGCGGGGTTTCAGTGCGCACTAAGTGGGTATCTCGTTCTCATAGTTTCGACACCGAAGCAGTTCGAGTTCCCTTCCCCGTAACGATCGGGTTACGTATGTAAGCCTTGTTCCCCGAGAAGGGGAACGAGACACTGCGTCGGTCCGCCACACCTCACCCCGCCTGGAGTGCCTGGCTTCATAGAAAGGGCTAATGTGTCATGTGTGCTGGCGTGGTTATATATGCCTCCGGTTACGCCGTCACATGCTACCGTTCTAGCAACACCAATAGGATTGGAGTAGTTTCATTCATAATTCAGCCCTGCCACGTCCAGAGGTGTTCCCATAGTGTCGTCACCGACGCAGTTCGAGTTCCCTCCCCCGTAACGATCGGGTTACATATGTAACCCTTGTTCCCTGAGAAGGGGAACGAGACACTGCATCGGTCCGCCACACCTCACCCCGCCTGGAGTGCCTGGCTTCATAGAAAGGGCTAATGTGTCATGTGTGCTGGCGTGGTTATATATGCCTCCGGTTACGCCGTCACATGCTACCGTTCTAGCAACACCAATAGGATTGGAGTAGTTTCATTCATAATTCAGCCCTGCCACGTCCAGAGGTGTTCCCATAGTGTCGTCACCGACGCAGTTCGAGTTCCCTCCCCCGTAACGATCGGGTTACATATGTAACCCTTGTTCCCTGAGAAGGGGAACGAGACACTGCATCGGTCCGCCACACCTCACCCCGCCTGGAGTGCCTGGCTTCATAGAAAGGGCTAATGTGTCCTGTGTGCTGGCGTTGTTATATATGCCTCCGGTTACACCGTCACATGCTACCGTTCTAGCAACACCAATAGGATTGGAGTAGTTTAATTCATAGTTCAGCCCTGCCACGCCCAGAGGTGTTCCCATAGTGTCATCACCGACGCAGTGTCTCGTTCCCCTTCTCTGGGAACAAGGGTTACATACTTAACCTGAGACGTTCTGTTGGGTTTTACACATGACGCACAGCTTCCTCTGAATGTAGGTTTACCTGCTTCAACAACAAGCTGCTCTGGTGTTACTGCCACAATAATTCTTTGTGTTGTGAAGATTATTTAGATGCTTCAGGAATAATCACATTGTTTTGGCAGCCTGTGCTACTGCTAATTATAGGATAATTTGTCTTTGTCTAATCAAATTTGTCTTTGATAAATCATGTTTTCATTGGGTTTAATGATAATGATGAATGATTAAAGAAAAAGCCCTAAACCACACATGACAGTCTGAAGCCCTAAAAAGAAGAACACTAAAGGAAGAGCACCTTCTTTTTGCCTGTTTGGACACTTCCAACACAGGTTTGTACTGCCTGTTTGGTTGACCTGTTTACAGCGTTTTCAAGGCAGTTTTTGTCATGAAAAAATGCACGATGGCTAATCACACATCAAAGTCTCCCATTATCATTTAAAAAATGCTTGTTTTCATCAAGCGTTTTAGGTGAATCCAAAACTTACATCGAGAACACGCGTTATTATGGCAAATCACACTTCAAAGACGCTCATTTTTCTGTCAAGTCACACGCTTTTGACGTGCCAGTGTGCAATCAGATGCTGGACCAGGCGTCCATGAGTACTTTGGCTTGCGATACTCCTACGCGTCGCCCGCGCACGCGAGTTTCATCAGCAATAGGAGTTAGACATGATGATATAATAATAAAATATGTGCACATGGTGTTTTTAAATGAAGGGAGAAAGTTTAAGTTGAGGAAATGAAGAACAGTTCAGCCTTTGGTTTCAGCGACCGCTCTTCAAGAAGAGAACAAAATCATTAACTTCAAGTTCAAAGATAAATGATGAGAGATAACGGAGTTAAATCAAATCCTGAATAAATCTCACAGCACACAAACACCACATGGCTGCGGAAGAAGAACAAACATCAGGAGGGAGCCAACATGTCCAGCCTGTGGCGCAGCAGGTAGACTGGGCTGTCCGTTTATTACAGGGGTTCGATCCCCGGCTGCTCCTGTCCACATGTCAAAGTGTCCTTGAGGGGACTCTGACCCTGTCAGCACCTTCAGGATCGCTCGCTGCCATCGCTATGTGAGAAGCTGAAGCAGAGGCTAACTGTAAATCTAGTCTGTTTAGCAGTGCATTGTTAAGAGAGGAAGTGATGCAGCTGATGTTGCCTCAATCAGTCACGTCTGCCTCTCCAGGCAGGCAGCTTATTCTGTTAATCTCCCTGCAGAGGTGTGGTCAGGTGACCCTGCTGCTGGGGACTTCTGACATTATGAACTCTGAC